AGGCAGCTTCTGCTACCATTTCCCTTCCTCTGGATGCAACAGTTGGCAGCTGAAGCCACGCTGGTAGAGGAGAGTGTATGTGTATGGGCAGGCTTCTCCTAAAGCAATCATTTCAGTCTTTTTTTTTTTTCCTTCTTTCTTCATACAGATGTTAAATTTATTTCAAACCCACCTTCCATGATCGCAGCTGGCAGCGTGGTAGCAGCTGTACAAGGCCTGCATCTGGGGAACACTAACACTTTCCTCTCCTATCAATGCCTCACACATTTCCTATCACAAGTTATCAAATGTGATCCGGTAAGTGACTCTTCTCAGTTGATCTCCTGCCTTAGAGTTTAAGAATGAATGTCTGCTTGCTGCGTAGTAGCTAATCGGGCAGTAAATCTTGATAAAGGTCAAACCTCAGAGTGGGTTTTTTTTGAAGATGTTCGCTTGTGTTCGTCCTAGTTACTTAGCTGTCCTTATAGCCATTAATAATCAGTGATTACACTGCTGCAGGTCACTGATAGGAGTGCCACATCCAGCTCTGATGTTCGTGAGAGGTGTATCTGACAATGCCAAGGAAACCCTGATCTGATTTTGAACAATTGCAGAAGCTGTATTTGCTTGTAGGCAATGAAACCAGCGGTCTGTGTAAAACAAAACTTTTAAAATAAGGCAAGGAAATAGTTACTGAGATTGCAATAAATGGACCTCGTGGTATCTCTGACCTTATCTTTGACCATTCTTGAGGCCTTTTATTGTGCCAAGTGGTGTGAAAAAGCCCTTCTTAAAAGAGTTCTAATGATCTAATTTGGTTTATTACGTGCTAGACCTGCACAGTAGCTGGTATTGAATTCCTTTTTGGAACAAATGTTTGTCCCACGACTTTCTGACAAGGTAGATGGTCCTCACAGGACTCTCATTTTGCCCTGCAGCTTCCAGGAGATGCACATCAGTAACTAGTGAGCAATAAACCTTTCATGAGTGAATGGGCCAGGAAGGGAGCCTACAAGGAAGACCTAAAGTCAATGATCCATGTCATAATGGTGTGTGAAGTTGGGGCAGAGTTGAGCTTTGTTTTGTAACAATGTGGAAGACCAATAAATAGATGCTTTAAAAAGGTTCTTGTGAGGTCTCCAAGCGCTGGACAATGAGTCAAATAAAGACAACTCTGTGGTTAGCGGCAGAACCTTTGAGATGCTGTTAAATTATTTTACACGTTAATAATTTAAATACATGGAGAGCTGTATTAGTCCAGACCCTTCAAAACTAGTTTTGTGTAATTGGACTTCGTTGACAGGATTGAGTGATTTGTGGAAAGACAAATGCATCATAGTGAATTACTCACAAAAGAGTATTTTACGTTAGACTATGTGAAACAACTGCTGACAAATACCATATCACAGACTATTACTTTGATCACCTTTACCATGCTTCAGAAATTGGCATGTTATTTTTTGCTATTTAGATTACTGCAGCTAAAGTAGTAATGGATCCAGTGCTGGTATGTTAAATACTGTAGGAACTTCAAATGCTGAAATCATACGCTGTAAATATCCCGCTGCTCAGTTTGGTGGGCACATGTCATACTTTTAGTGAGTTTGTGAACAGAGTAGATACGTGAGTGTATGGTTGGCCTCTATCCAGTGCGAGATATTCGAAGCAGGTACTGGGGACAAATACTAGGCTTGCTATCAGTACTGATAGTACCTGATTCAAACAAAAATATTACTTAATCATTCCTGATAGAGAGCATTGAAATAAATTCTCTTACATCTTGGAGAACAACAGCATGTCCTTATGTGACTTGACTTAGTTGATGACAGAGCTCTTTTAAAAGAAAAAGAAGTTTTACCAAGAAGAGAATGAATGCTTACTGCTTTTTATTGTCCAGAGTCATTGTAAGGTCGCAATCTGTATGACCTGAACTTAAAACTAACAGCTTTGAAAGGAAGTAACTCCCTTCCAGCTTTTATTGCTAAATATATTTATGTGTTAGAGCAGCTAGAGTTAGAAGCGTAAGGGTTTTTGTATATGTTACTACAGAAAATAAGGAGCATAAATTTTTACCTTACGTACATGTATGTTGTCGTGTTTGTAACATAATAAGGGTAGAGCATCTTTCACTGCTGCTGATTGAAATAGAGAAAATTGTTCGGTTTCATACACAGTGCGATTCTGCTGCAAAGAAAATTCCCTGTGAGACCAGCCCCTGTAACCCTGCTATTGCTTGTACCTGTTCCGCTAGCACCTATGTGAAGTTTGTTATGTGATGGTTCCCCTTGTCAGACTGCACGATTGAATACGCTTTGTATTGCATTGTCTTGAAATATTAGGAGCATGCATTTATTAACAACATGGCTAACGTTCTCCCAGATTATCTATTAGCTAGAGCAGCTGTTTGATTTCAGGTTACATAATTACGCTTTTTTACCTTTAGTCTCAAAGAAAGCTGAATCTAAAGTAAAATGAATATCACCTGATTGGAATTCCTTTATGGTTCATGTTTACATTGGTAGGAGTCCAATTTCCCATTTTGCCTTTGATCAGGGGTAATTAGAAGTCAGATAATCACAATTAGAAGTCTTGGGCTGTCTTCCATCATTCTATTCTTGACCCCATCATCCAAACAGATTGAATTTTACCTGACATTCATTTCCAGGCCAGAAATTTGCTAAACTAGATTAGATTGGGTTTCCATGCTGTCTGTTAGTACATTGGAATTCGTCTCCTGCCTGCCCCTACTCAGAGGCACCTTCAGACATGTGCTTGTTATCCAGAACGGGTCAGGCAGTAACAAAGGATTTTCAAGCAGCTTCTTTTTTTGTTGTTGTTTGTTTCCTTTAGTGTATCTGACCCTGGAGTCTGATCATGTCTTGTGTGTTAAAGGTATTTGACCACTACTAAGTCTAGTCTTTTTTTTTTCCTTTTATTTTTTTTTTCCACTGAGGAGCTTAATTAATCCAGGAAGGGTTTATGACCTTGAACAAACTGTGGGCATTGAAAATTTGGGTAGTGAAGCAGAAAAGTTGTTGGGAGAAGTTATCAGAATAATGCACAAGTTCAGTATTTGCTTTTCTGTGTTAGGAAGTATTTTTGCTAAGAATGAAAAAAGCTTTCATTAAGTTGGTCACAGTGAATTTTATATTTTGCAGTTATTTTTGCTAGTTCTAAGATTCCTGTAGACAAACTACTCATCTAATAGTTATCTGAATAAAAAATGATTTGAACCAAAATGCCTAAATCACTTAAAAAAAAAAAAAAAAAGATTCAGTCATTTGTAACATAAGAGTACAGTTCATAATAAATTGTAAGGATTATGTTTTACAAAAATACAGATATAATAGGCTGTACTCTGAGAATCTCACAGGAAAAAAAAAGCTGTGGTCAAAAATTACCTTTAAATGATGTAGTCCTATGTAATTATTCATGATTGGAGTCCAGAGGGAGACGAATAGGTAATTTAAAGAAATCCTTTTGAATGGCTTGAATTTTCAGAGCTCAAACATGCTATAAGCAAATAGCATTAAAAACCAAACCAAAAATGGGATTTGCTTTGGTCTGAAAATAAATTGGCTTTCAATTTGGAAACACTACCTTGTTATAACACTGCCTGGCACGCTACCTTGTTGTCACAGAATTATCCACAAAAGTGTCTGGATTTGTAAAACTGAAAATCTCCCCAAACCTCTGTTCACCTACTATTTAACACACCCAAGTGCGGCTGAGGTACGTGCTGCAGGACACACGAGTAGGAGCCTTGCAGTCAGGCCTGGGCTGTTGCATCTTGCGACGGGGTGAAGGGACTTCATCGAGATCTTACTGTGGAGGCCAGAGGAATGTAGGGGCCAAAGGCATCATGACTCTAGGATATGAGGCGTTTCTTTTTGTCATTTAAAACGCTGTGTGTCTCTGTCAAGAGGAAATATTACACTAGGGTTTAAACCAGAAAAGGTCATAGGTTATGTGTTTTCAGTGAGCTGTAACTGATGGTCTGATCTGCTTAGAGGTAGGATTAACCTCCCTCTCTCTCAGAAAGGACTTGCAGAGAATTGTTTGCTTGGGTTTCTAATCTTATTTTACCCCAAATGCCATGTGCCCTTATTGGTGGCAGAGGAGATTCTTGTGGTAGTGGAATCAGTGAAAAGCTGGTAGATCACACAAGAAGCCTCTGAATGAAGGCAGAATTGAAACTGGGAAATAAAGAAAACAGCAGGCAGGTCACCCTCTCAGGAAAACAACATTCATTCTCAGTCATGCACATCCTAACACTTTTGACGGCAATTTATCATGGAAGACTGGGTTCACCGCAAGGGCTAACACATGTCATAGGTTAAATCAGAAAAGGCGATACTTAAAGGAAACTTCAAAGTCCTTAATACACAGAGTTAAATATGTTGGGAAAAAGCGTATGATGTTTGTTGTAAAGATAGGAGTAAACAGCATGCTGGAGGAATTTTGGCAAAATGTAGTGTGATTGTTTTGCCTGTTTGAGGCACCAGTTGTGTGTCCTTGCGATGGGTGTATGTGGCGCTGAGGAACACAGCTGTAATGTGCAGGAAGTTGGACAGGTTGAGCTCGCAGGCTTTCTCCAGATTTCCTTGCTGTGGACCAGTGGGTAGAATTGGCCATACCTACTCTGGGTATGCTTTAATGGTTGGGGAAGTTTTCCCTTTTCCCGCAGGAGAAGAGCACTTGGTGCTTTTAATTCAGGCTGAAGTGGGTGCAAAAGCGAGGCCCTTGCACCCTCCCGGGCACTTGGCAGGGTTGTGTAGACATTGAGGGCTGAGAAACTGGTTGTGAAATGAGGGGAAAAAAATCTCACCTGAATTGAGCTGTTAAGGTGACTGCAGGAGCAAACTGAAAGCTTGGCAGCACTTTATAATGCATGGTTACAAAGATGGTCAGTGGTGGTCGGTGATGTTCTGTTCAGATGCTTTCTGAGTCAGAAATCAGTTCACTAACCTGAGCTGCCCACTGCTGTAGCTAGTAGCGGTTGGCTGGCAACTTCAGGTGTGTATATCTAAATAGAAAAATATGGCACTTCTATCTAAGAACTTTGTATCATCAGACCTCAGCCTGGGGAAGCCACCATTTATGGCCATCCCTTGTAATAGAGTGCACTGCTGAAGTTTTTTTTTTTTTTTTGCGGTAAAAGTAGAAATCATGACGGCATCAGCAATACTTGGACCAGCCCTGACTCCAGCCCAGTTTTATGTCTTTTCCGTTACATTTAATTATGATTTGATTCACAGTGCTGTCCAGTCAGAGAGCTTGTGTTTTTGAAAGGTCTAAAAGACTGAGGTAAAAGATGGTACGGATGGATTTGCACGTAACTGCTGAAGTGTTAGCAGCCCAGGCAAGAAGCACTGCAGTAAAGCTCCAACAGGCAAGCTCCATCTTGCTGTGCCAAGGCCCTGCCAGGGAAGCGAGTGCCTGTGTGATGGTAGCGGAGCGCTCATCGTGTTCCTCCTGTAGTGCTGAGACTAAGAGCAAACTGAGAGCTGTCCTTTGTCCAGAGGTCCGTGTATGGAGAACGCTCGCATTGGCCATGAAATAGATGGCAGGAGTCAGTTACTAAGTGCGGGATCCAGGTTAGCACCCTGCAGCAATTTGGGTAGCTCATCCAGTGCTCTCACTAGTTAGTGTTCCTCTTGCTCTTCCTGCTCTCCTTTGAGTGTGCTGCCCTCCCAGATAACGTCATTGTATTTCTCTTGGCTTTTCAAGAGATGGTACGTGGTCTGTGGTCTTTGTATTTTTCTAAAGGACCCTGGGTCTTTTTTCTCCTTCCATTTAATCTTCTCTAGGATTGTTTACGAGCCTGCCAAGAACAGATCGAATCCCTCCTTGAATCCAGTCTACGCCAGGCACAGCAGCACAACGTATCTTCAGAAACAAAGACTGTAGAGGATGAAGCAGACCTTTCCTGCACACCTACTGATGTGCGAGATGTGAACATTTAAGAGGACTTCTTCTAATGGGTTTGCTTGGCAAGAGAAGCAGACAAAGAAAGGGCATCTGAGAAGGAATCAGCATCAGGATCTCCCCCCCAGAAACCCTTTTCTCCAGGACATTTTTATACCAGAAGGGAAAACCCGTCTTGTTATATTTTTTCTTGCTCTGTCTCCCTTCCATCTGTGACTTCAAACAAACAAATAAACAAAAAATACCCCAAAAACTGTCTTAAAAAAGAAAAAAATAGTATTTGCATTACCCCCAGGGGTTTGTGCTACAAAAATAGAGGATTTTATACAATAATAATCAACTAGTTTTTATATTAAAGTGTTCTTGTCTGTATGTTGTAAAAATAGGCATTAACACACAAAATGTCTCCAGGGGAGGTATTAGATTTGATTTCTTACATATAAAACAAACCAACCAACCATTTTTAAAGTAGAAGAGGGTTTTTTTAGATAGTAAATGAAATATTCTTTTTTTTTTCTTTAAAAAGCATAGCTTTAACGCAGTTCTAGGCTTTTCTGTATCTTGCTTGCTTATGCATTTAGTCACTTTATAATTCATCTGTAAATGTTTATTTTATTTCCTTAGGTTTTTTTTTTATCCTCTTCACCTTATAAATGGTTAACGTAACCCATAAGTTAGTGTATGTTAGTATACAGCATTATTATATGTTAATCTTTTTGTGTGTGTGTGTGTGTGCGTGCCTGTGGATTGCCTGTGCATTTGTAGGGTTCCAGCTTAGCATTGTTGGGAAAGGCCAATGTACTACTCATACGATACTCTATTATAAAGAGAAACCGAAATAGTGACATAATATATTATATTTTTGTAATCTTCATATTTTTGTAGTTACCTGTGTAAAAATGCTGGTCTGACCCCGCAGATATTCAGCCTAATTATGGTCAGGTTCAATCCACAGTTTAGTCTTTTTTTTGTTGTTGTTTGTAATATTCTAAAACCATTCCATTCAAAGCACTTTCAGTCCATTAGATATAGGAAATACATTCTTTTATTGTGTGGGAATTTTTTTTTTTAATGGAATGGTTTGGAAATATATTAAGTGCTTGTTCGCAAACTTGGAATTGCAAGGCAAGTGCATTTAACTATGGTGTTAGAGGAAAGGTGATTTTTTTTTTTTCGAAGGTTGCGTTCCAGTGAGAGAAATTGCATTCACAAATTGCCAGGATATCTTCCTATCCTTTTCTATAGAAAAGTTGAAGTTTAGAAATCCTTTGGTGCCAACACATCTTTATAAATTAGGGGCCTTAAAGGTTCACATATAGGACACATAGTTTAAGGATTTTCTTTAGATGTTTTACAGCTGAAGGTTTTTAAACACTAAAATATATAATTTATAGTTAAGGCTAAAAAGAATATTTATTGCAGAGGATGTTCGTAAGGCCAGTATGATTTGTAAAATAATGCAATCGCCCCTTTTTTAAAAAAAAATCTTTCTACCCTTGATGTTGCAGTTTTAACACAGCTTAGTAAAGAAAAAAAGGACACTTCAGAGACCAAACCCAAAACAAAGCAGTCTATTTGGCCCCTTACACATTTTCAGTAGCAGTCTAACCATGAAAAAAACGCCATAGTTAATAGATACGAAAATTGGAGTACTTGAAAGAAGTTCCTATTCCAGTATATGCCCCCCCCCTTTTTTTTAATTTAGCTACAAATAGAAAATTTGCACATCTTGGCTATGTATCTTTTTATTATTATTTTAGGAAGTAGCTGAAGGGACGTGGACATAGCTGTTGAAGTTGATGCTCGAGGAGAATGTGATGGTGAAATGTATGTGAGAAAACTGCCGCTAAGGTGTTGATTGTAAAAAAAAAAAAAAAAAAAAAAAAAAGAAAAAACAGAAAAAAGAAAAGGAAAAAAAAGAAAAAAAAAAGAAAGAAAAAAAGAAAAAGAGAAAAGAATAGGAGCGGATGCTCCATTTTTATTGAGCTGCTATGGATAAATTCCCAGCATGGTTTGAAAAAAAAATTAACATTGCTTTTCTGTATCTTTGTCATTGTGTTTTGCTGCTATTTTGTGGATCAGTTTTTTTTTTTTTTGTTATACAATGTCATATACTGCCATGTTATAGGTTTTAATTTTCTCATAGAAAATTATATTATTGACATCATTTTTTTGTAGATTTTTTATGTGATCAATTTTTACTTAATGTGATTACTGCTCTATTCCAAAAAGGTTCCTGTTTCACAATACCTCATACTTCAGTTAACCGTGTCTAGACCAGGTTTTAATGTTCGTACACAGTGCCTCATAGTTCTACTGCAAATGGAAATGCATCGAACGTTATTCTGAATGGGTCTCGCAATTTGCAACTAGGTTGCATTAATTTAAAATGGCAGACATTTCAGAAGATCAAGTAATGTCAGTTTTTATGGTGTTGCGCATTTTATAAAGCTGGATTCTTTGTCTGATCTGGGGTTTATTATCATAGTAGTTTTAAGCTGTGTTATTAGCCACAAGTGATATATGAAAGGTGCATTATAATATAACTCTTGTATGCCACCTGATGCGCTTACCCATCAATTGGGACACATCAGTTGGTATGATAGGTTATCTTCTGGAACTCTAAGTATTTTGTGTGTTTAATCTGTTATGATATACTAGTTTTGTTTTTTTTTTTTAATTATAGCATAATGCTAATTTAAAAAGCCTGTAAATCTCATAAATAAGCCAGCTAACAGAGTTGTATGCTGAAGAATAATCTAGCTGTTGCCTGTATGCTGCTAAACCAAAACAGAATTAGAACTCTTTGAGGCAAATGCAGTTAAGATCCTACATAGTGCATAAACAAAGCATTGCAATGCTACTAGCAGTCGCAGGACCCAGGAGGACTGGATACATTCTGTCCAAATTTCAGGAACATTTACTGCTTACCTCATAAAACACTTCTGTTCGTGGCATCTCTGTGTCTCTGAACCAAACATGATTACTGAGTTAGTGGTTGTCAGTTATATTATGTGTTACACTGAGTGGCAGTGTGTACTGCAAAATTCTTTAACTATTGTATGTACTAAAAGGCCAAATCCAGATAAGTGGGTTCATGTGCCAACAGAGATGCTTTATTTGTCACATTATTATAACAATCTGTAGTAAGCAAGCAATTCAGATTTGTACATTTTTATATTGTACTTATTGGCATCACTGGTCTGAAATGCACATTTTCACCAACAGACCTGTAACAGACAAGTTTCCAGCAAAAAAAAAAATCTTAAAAAAAAAAAACAAAAAAACCCAACAACCTAAAGTCTAGAAATAAAATTGGTAAAACCCAGTGTCTGCTTGTTGTGTCTTTTTATTACTTTCATGAATGCTGAATGGTAGTAACTACCTAATGTAATGAGTAAGCCACGAGACATTTTCTCATTTTGACTCTCCGTGCTTTAATAGTTGCAATGCTGAAAATTTTCTACTATTATTTTAGGAAAGTGTAGGCGTTTTTTAGAAATGGGTAGGTGACTGGCTGTCACGGTAATGTGTATTTTAAAAAAGCAAAACAAGTATTTGCTTAAGATTATTTTAAACATCTAAGGTAATTACTCAGAGTAAAATACCATTTGGTGGTTCTTTTTAATAAAAGGTGAAATAAAGTAGGTGTTTGGTACAGAATGCTTGTCTGTATTTATTTATCAGTGTAAGGTTTTGTGTCCTAGAATACATTAATAGAAAATAGTTTTAAAAGAAGTAAAGTTAAACAGCTTTATTTTCCTTCCCATTACCTCTTACAAAGCTTATGCATACTGTTGCATTGCTAAGATAATAAAAAATTAGGAGCTACTAAATCTAAGAACTGGACTTGAGAAGGACAAAAATGTAACAGTAATTACATGTGATTATTTATAAAACAAAACGAGAAAAACTTACAACTTGTGTCCCAGATGCGTAAATGGGATGCATGTTACCAATTGCTACAACTAGACACACCAGAAACAGCATATTCCTAGTGATGAATGGTCAAGCTTTTAACATATGTATTGACTATTTACTCTATGAAAACGTGATGTCATTACTGGCTTTAAAACAAATACATGTAAAATATCAAGTGCTTGTCTCTCAGATCAGATACCTGTTTATCTGCCTTCTGAATTTCCCACTGACTGAACTTCACAGAACAACTGATTCTATGCAATAGCTACAGTAAAGGAAGTGAAAAATGAAAACTCTTTAAGTTAACATGAGCGTGTTGGACACAGTCTAGTGCTAAATCAGCTCGTCCTACTGCAGTTACCAATAGATGGGAAGCCCCCTGTATCAGAAGAATCACAGCTGAGCCTGTATTAGCTTGATTTCCCAGCCACTTCAGACAGAAACCTCAACCACGTGGCCTACCGTAAGCTCACAGATGGGGAGGTTCCGATTTGTACATAGTGGGTCTGCAATTTTGTCCTTCAGAGATCAGGACCTCCTCTATATGGTCAAAAAAAAGGCTTTTGTATCACTGATGACCAACCCCTCTAATTTCAAATATTTTGAATGAAGACATACATACAATCTTGATTTGGGACAAAAAGCTTTTTGCTGAAAAAAATTATTAGAAATTTCAACCTGCATTTTGTTTAACATGTTAAACGTTTTTTGCCTTTTCTATGAGTATTTTTAATCTATTAAACTGACTGAGGTTATTCGGTGCTTTGAACAGGTTTAAGCCCACAGTCAGCTCTGTTAATTACATTTTCCTTCTCTTAAACACCATCTCTGAATGGAGCCTACTAAATTTGAATGTTGGGTGAGCTGTGCCAATATTATTCACATTGGAAAGGATGGGACAAGAATGTAGCAAGAAAAACAACTTACTATAGGCTGTAAAAAAATATGCACATTCAGCTAGACTATGCTCTAGCTCATTTAAAGGAAAAATGCTATAGCAACATCAGATTGAGAAACCTATGTAGAAAAATCTCCAAAAAGCATCCTCAATTCCACTGCTGCATTTAGACTGACAAAGCTTGTACCTTTACTAAACATTAAGTTCACGTATTCTTTACTAAACAAAAAAAAAGCTGTTAAATGTAAGAACTTTTAAATCTACTTACAGGCAAGTGTATTTGGCACTGTAAGTGATGGAAAACTTCAGAACGTAGGAGAGAAAATGAAGTTTCAAGCTACTAACTCAAAGGAGCATAGACGTGACCCAGGTGTGTGGGCTAGATACTCTGATACAGGCTTCTAGCAGTGGCATTGAAAAGCTACTATGGGACAAAGGCCATAAAGCTATAAATGATGGCACTATAATGAATTCACACCAACATAATTTTATGGGAAATTCATCTTTTCAGACAAACACGGTGTTTTTATGATCCCTCAAACATACCTGCTAATGGTAGTTACAGCAGCATGACAAATATAAGATTCCTATCTGGCTTTTGACTGAGTTCCCCCACAATATTCTTATATAATAATGAGAAAGGGATCGCAAAGTTTTTGACTGGATTGCACTGAAAACGTAAGGCTTGCCAGACTCCTCATTTTGCTCTTTACGTTAATGGAGTACAAATGTAGGAGCAAGACAGACATTACCCTTCTGCTTCTTTAATGCAATAGCCATTTAATAACAAAAAACAAATAATTTCTTGATGATCCCACTAGCATTTGCATAGCCATACCAAGAAATCACTAAGTAGCCATAATTTTCAGGAGCGCTCTTACCTGAAGAGGGAACTACTGGCAGAAAGACTGGGTGCTCGCAGTATATCAGGAATAAGGCACAGACACAGCATCTTAACTCTGCACGTGCCCTGCTGACGCAGAGGCACCACCCGCAGTGCATGGTCTGCTCCTGGGGCACACGCTGTGCACACTTCCACTGAACTCCTGTATTATATAAGAAAGGCTTTAATGTCATCTTCAGAGCACCAATTCCTACACAGAAGAGTCCCCAATTTTTTTTTTGGAGCAGTCACTACTGTACACAGATTAACACTAACAGCTTTACCTTTCAAAAAGTTGCATCTCTGGATGCAGGAAGTTGTATTTAGTAGCTGCTAGAGGTATTCCCTCTTACACGGTGTGAAAAAAAAATAAATCCATTTGTGTGGATTTAATCTCTCTTCTCACTTTACTTATGGCTCACACTACTTTCTCATTTATAATATCTTTGAAGAAATACAACTTATATTTATTTCAGGTAAATGAAACACACATGTAGCAACCCATCTCAAAAACCGAACATCAGTCTGCACACTCACTTGAAGACAGAAACAAAAGATCATACTCTCTCACGTTCACAATGCATACTAAGAGACAGTCAGTCAGTACAATCTTCCCTGCTAACACGTCTGTCGCATTCTGAAGCATACCTGAAAGCCAGAGACTGCCCAGTCAAGTAAGACTTGGACTACATCTGCTCAGCTCTGACTAAGCTGGCATGAACTGGAAAAGAAAGAAGCAAAATATGAATTCAATTAGGCAAATGTTTCTACATTCACACTTGGTAACAGATTTGGGGTGGGAGACTGTATGGTGATGGGAATCTCCTCCCCAGTAGTAAGATGCCTTCAACACAGGTAAAGCCAAACAGAGCAGCCTGGGACTGCTCGTGGTGACAATCAAACACAGGAAGAAACAACTGGTTACGAGGCTTGGGGCTGCACAGGGCTCCACACACGGATATCTAACACAACTGAGAAAGCAGAACCAAAGGTGGAGCCACCCCACACGTGGGCCAAGCTGCAAGCCAGGACCTGCCACGCTGACTGGTCTGGGCAGGAGTCCTCTTCCCTGGGCCCATGTGGTAAAGGCCGAGAGTTTGGATTTGTATGTGGGGTGTGTGCATATCACAGAAGAGAACTGCCATCTACTCACCATTCCCAACCCAAGCAACTAAATCTGAGGTTATATATTGCTGAGTGGTGTGGCTTTGTTATTTCTCCCACCCCAGCTGACTGCCCTGTGACACTTGCCTGAATCCACCCAAAGGCTGTACACCGCTGCTCGGCCTCTATGACAGCTGACAAGTCACCGTGGCCTGTGAGATGTTGCCTGCAATATCAGCATCGGTCTTCAAGAAGCCGGGCTGAGATGGGCAAATCATTTAACACAGGCCACTAAGTCACCACCAGAGCATTACGACAATTCGCCCGAGCCAGTGCAACACAAGTGACCTGGTGTCCTAAGTCACGGCTCTGATGGTAAACTGTCTGAAACAGACAATTGAGCATTTTGATGTTTTATTTCTCCTTTTATTAGATTTTATCACTGAAGATTGTTTGAAGATGTGGTATTATTGTGGTATTATTTTTGAACAGCTTTTTTGCTCCTTGAATACACACAGTCCACAGTTCTTTGCATTCGGTTGCTGGCCACGTTAACTACTGGAGACTGGTCTCTTCAGCAAATTCACGCTACTCGTTATAGGTATGTTCTCTCTACAAGCACAGGCGTAACATCTTTTAAGTTTTCCAGAAGGAATCAACAGCTTTTTACTCAAAAGTAAACATTATTTCTAATAAACCTACCACATTTATTTCATGTTTTCAACTTAATGTACCTGCAGCTGTTTCAGTCATTAAGTAGGATCACTTTGTTCCTTTTAGGCAACGCATTTACCAGCCATGTATTAATTCTGGTTTCTCTTTTCATGGCAGTCCTTGGACTGCAAAGGATCAAAAAGATTCCTCCCTTACAATATCTTTCTAATATAAGTGAAACTATTCACCTGCCTTCATTCCTGCATGATAATGCCCAACAGAGTTGTAGAGTCAAACAAGTATATGCCAACTCTTGCATGCCTGTGGGAACACAAGTGTTCTCTCATCTTCAAACAGTTCTCCAAACATCTAAATATAGTCCTTCATGTTTTTAAACCCCTCTGTAAACATGCTTCAGGTGTATTCAGGGGCTCTTTCCACATCTCCCATAATTCTGCCGAGGGAGCATCATTAGGCAAATTATAAGAAATTCTCATTGAAAACATCTCTCCAAATTTTTCTCTAATGTTGTTTCTCTCTCATTATTTCTCAAACTAATTGATGTTACTGGATTTTTTGCAGTTTGTCCTCATCTTATTGCATAAGAGAACTTAAGTATGACATACAAATATAATGGGCCAGATGCTCAACACACCGTTCCAGCTGTGTACCTACAGTGAAACTGGTTTATGAATTCCCAAGTTGTGCTCAAATCATTCTTCATCTTACTAAGCTGTCCTGGATATGACACAAAAATGATGCTCAAAGTCCATGTGGTTTTAGGATGACAATGTGCTTGACTAACTGCACCACAACCAAGGTGTCCTCAAGAAGAAAATACACTGCAGATACAACCTCTAGCTTTCCTATAAAAACAGAGTGGCATTATATTGATTCTTAATTCTAATATTCATTCATTTTCACTTGTATTTCAGAAACTAACAAGTGCTTATCAACTTTTTTTTTTTTTTAAGGTAAATGGGGGTCTCAAAAATTCAGTGTCTGCACATACGCTACAGGAAAAAAAAGCCAGTTTAGAGAACAATGTAGGCATGTGTTTTTAAACTACTGTTCGTGCAGTCTGGTCAGGACTATGTGACACAGTATACAGTGTTTTGTCATCCAAGGAATGTCTTTGATCAAGAGTTTATGCAAGAAGGAAAAAAAAGCCATGAAACCCTAATCCGTTCCCACAGTCCAGTAAACGTGAGCTGGACAAACAGTGGACAATAGCAGTAAAGCTTGCTGCTGGAACAATAGCTGCAACTAAAAAAATTAAAGGGTTGCTGACTCACAGTTCCTATAATCAAGAAAGATTCCATGCCTTGTTGATTATTCCACAGAATCCTGAAGATGCTGAAGGTTACAAATTGTAACTACGTATTACATGGAGATAAAGCAGCAAAATACGCTGCTAAACAATCAAAAAGAAAAAAAGACAAATACTGACGTTGATTCTGCCTAGTGCAGAGCTGAGATGCAAAAACTGAATAAGCAATCTTCTTTCTGCCTAAACAGGACTTTTGCTAAAAGTAAACTCCGTAATTTTATTACAAACTAAAGCAGTTTATTTCTTTCTGACAGTGCACTACTATTCTAGGTGCCATCCATACAAATTCTACACTACAATCAAACTTGCTGATGTTTCAGTACAAAAGCTACATGCTATTTCTTGTACTTATTCAGGAATCTTCTGCAGGTAATTTTGTCATGCCAAAAAAACAGCCACACAGAATTGTGGAGCTGGTTCATTACTTATGTATATGAAATACGATAGAACAATTAAAAATACTGTACAGCAAGCCACTTCACAATCAACTGACGCTTACTATGGCTTTAATGTATTTCATATGAGAGTGAACAGCCACTACTCTGTATTAATGAGGATTTCCAAAGCCTTGTATGTTGGCTATGTTCAGGGGCACTTAATGACCATGTTTCCATTTGCAGAGTACTACCTCATTTGGCAGAGCTGTGTGTTATTCAAGAGTTGCAAAGTACAGAATCTTAGGATGAAGAATGCTGCCAGAATATAATGATTACACTTCAGAAGTGAACACTCCTGTGATTAAGGAGGAATATCCAGCGTGAAGCTAAAGAGATACTCAAGTTAGTTCCAGATGAACTAACTAAGGACAGCGAAGTGCCTCAGTACCAGATTGCTCCAGTTACCCTTTGTATGTCGATTCTGGATACCAAAACTGGAAACCAACTGGAAACATGCCACAGGACTCCCAGATCTCCGTTCTCTCTGGTGATATATACATTTCTGTGGTAAAGCATACTGTCATAACTTTGTCCACATAAAAACAAACAAAAAACCTCTGGCAGACTGTAAAATGAGAATCTTTGTGGTTACTTGTCAAACTATGAAAGCTGAAGTTTTAGGCTGTAATTAGACCAGAAGCCATAGCTATGAGAGTTGCAAAGGGCAGTAATCAAAGGCACTAAAATTTATGCTGGGAAGCACCAAGAATATGAAGAATTGTAACATTAGAAGAAATATTAAACTTTTTATTATACACCAAAACCTTTCTCTTGGAGAAGGTCCTGATGAGATGTATCACACACGTTGTTCTACCTGCCTGGTTCAGCTTTTTACAACCTCCCCTGGAGTACCCTCCGAAATAAAGATTATAATCCAGATGAACTTCAGGTAATTCTAATATTTCAGGAGGTTTCAAACTATATGCCTAAGATCATTCAGAACACCAACACTGTCAAAAACATTTAGTGCTTCACATTGCTATCACTGCAGAAATCGTTTAAGAAAGCCCATGGGGGGTGGGAGGGGGTGGGTGGAACTGGATGGTCTTTAAGGTCCCTTTCAACACAAGCCATTCTATGATTTTGTGACTCTGAAAAGTTTTTAAACCAGCCTCTATTTTCTCTCCTCTAGACGTCATATACCCAGAAAGCTGACAACATGAGTTTGCACAGGTTCTACGCACAGACTAGAACGCACTATTGCTTACATACTTCATACCTCAGTAGCAATCGGATCATAACCATAACCAAACAAGATATGCCAAACTGGGAAGTCAGACTTTCCTTACAAATCCAGATGTAATATGTTGTAACCAGGAAAACATAATAGGATCCTACAAGGCTGATTTCTAAGTGAGAAATTGCATATACAGATATATACATATATATATATATGTTTCTGATTTCATGCATTTCTGTTCATTAGAGACATATCTTCAGAGCTGAAATTGATTCCATTCATATTACAGCTCATTACAAATGGAAAGAAAGCATGCCTACTTAATGAACGAGTGTTGCAACAATGAATTTAACTTGGAGACTTTAATCACCATCCCATTTTTTTGCCCTCCTTCTCTGTATCCATTCTAAAAATCTGTCCGTAGAAATGCAGCTTCAGTAAAGAGGCCTTTACTGTACTCACGTAGTACAATGACGCAGATAACACACAAAGTCAGATTTACACGTGCTGATAATGGTTGATTGGGTATTACCAGATGACGACCCCATTGCTGTAAGACAGCACTGAAATCAGCATGGAATTCCACAGGGAATTGATTCTCTGTAGTCAGAGCTCACCTTTCCACTGATGCCTCAGAACTCACTATCTCTTGTACTCATCACGTAACATGGCAATGAAAACTGCAAGTCTTCTGGACTGAAACAACTTCAGTATGTTAGTAATAGTTAGCTTTGCATCCATTTTTAAATGGAAACCTACATTCAACAGCCTGAGCTGAGAGAACACCATGAAGAAACAAAACAAGCTAGAACGCAGTCCAGACAAGTCAGAAATTTGAGAGTTAAATGTTTCAAGCATTCCTCCCTAACTGTAACTACTGAGCATACCTAGAGGTGGTAAATAAAGCAATATATTTTAATATATTTTAAAGACATAGTACCTTCAATAATTTTGGCAGAAATTTTCCATCCTGATTTTATCAGATCACGTACCTCCAGAAAAAATTAGACCTGTTTGACCATACAGCACAGAGCCACAATTTCCACATCCTACTTTATTAATAACCAATATAATAATCTACAAGATTAAATTTTTTTCCACACCTTCCCCTCCCAGAAATAAAAGCAATATTTAAGTTGCACAATCAAGCATTCAGACCAGGAAACGTCTGAATGACCATGTCCCGCAGCAGTTTTATTCGGCCTCTCCACACACAGATGATCTGATAGAGTTTTTAATTACAATTTAATAGTTGCTTCCACCAGAGTCCTGACAGGATGAGTAACCAGGATGTGGCATTAATGAAGCCATTTATATGTATTTTTTTTTAATTTGTTCCAGATTTCAGGAAAGTGTTAATAAAACAGCAAGGGCATGAAAAGAAGAGAAAACATATGCTTATGACTCACAAAACTGAATAATCCTTTGAAGAGTGGTTTTGCCAGATTTTGATGGATTTTTTTTTCAGTAGCGCTGTAGTTTGGTTAAGCACATGCTTTTCTTTCACACGTGTTTGCTAACTCTTACACTCCTCATTTTCCAGGTAACTCCCCTGAGGAACAGCCAAGAATACAAACATGTAAATAGCCACTCAGTGTTAACAAATAGCACGTTCTGAAGTATTCAAGCACTTAGAATGCAAAATTATTTGCAAGAAGTCCCACTGGTTAAGGCAAACCAATATTCCCAATGTAATCTGGGCTTTAGCTCCTTAGCTGTAAGTACAGCATAAAAAACCCTCTGTGGTATGCTGTTACAGCTCTAGACATCACAGAAAACCCCACAAATCTGTTGCAAAAACATTTTTAAAACTTTGCACTGAAGAAAGCACATGATTACATATCCAACAGAATTTTTAACTGTGGCTCATTTAATACACACCATCATGCCCATACAAGACTTGAGACAAAAGATACTCTGAAAAATACAGATGTTTGGAATAAAAGATTGCATTAGCATGAACACATAAGTAGCTCAAGGAAAGACCTAAGAGGCAACCCTAAAGATGTCACATCCCAGTTTGAAATCCTAGATGCTTCTACCATCTTTATGGTTAAATATATATTTTTATGTTTACGTTACAACTTTTCAAACAAAATTAATGTTTAAATATATGAAATAGTAAACCAATAGTAGAAATTTAGCCACCAAAACAATTTTCAAAGTAAGTAATTATCTGCTTGGTCTGCAAAGATCCTTTTAATCCTTAAGCCAACAAGAATAATTTTGTACTTGATACAATCTCTAGAATGGCGTTTTGCATATGACTTACATATCATACATTTCTAGTAATCAAATGCTTCACTAACTTTGAACTCTCACATCCCTACCCTTGTCTTTCCATAATTTGTGCAAACCATGTACAAAGATTCCACAAGCGGCCACATTATAAAACTGGAATACTTAGACCTCCAGCGTTTACTTCTCTTTGTACACTGAGAGGAACATCAAAAGTGCCTTTTTGAGACCAAGAACCAGCTTGCAGGGGGATTGCTATCGAAATCTCTGAATTACATTTTAAGCAAAAAACATTTTGAGTCAATCACAGACAAATAAGTAGTATCATTTCATTGCCTTAAAGTAAACAGGTAAAATACTTTGATTTGCAAAAATAAATTATGTTGTGGATCCTGAGACAACTTTTTCAAATCCGGATTTCTCTGAAATAATTATTAAGTCAAATTACGTTTCCCTAGTATATGGTCTTTTTGTGTTGTGTCTATTTATTTTACAGAGATTATAGGGTATGCTATTCTTTTGTGCTTTCACTTAAGTTTCAAGTACATGCACTTTTGAGCTTACTCTGGTTGCCCAATAGTTTTAAGTTACATACGAATTAAAAGTTGTACTTAAACTACCATAAATGAAGAGACCATAAAATGCTGTCATGTCACTTCCAAAGTCTCAAATGAAGAAACAGGCTACAAATAAATCCTACCTCAATACCACTTTATTTCAAAGATATTCACCACGTCATCAGAAGAGCTGTATTATGCATGGATATATTCTGTACTCTTTACTTGAGCAACTTCATTTATATAAATATTTGCGAACTATTGCAAGAAGCATTACTTACAGGCCATTTTTATGCACTATAAAAACCTCCTCCGCTAGATGGCTCTGGCACTACGTGCATCAGAGCTAAAACAAGCACACCAGCAGCTAGTTATTAAGAAAGGCATCTGATATTGGCAAAGTAATATACTCAAGAACAACAGCAACAAGATGATTTTGAAATAAAATCTATATATATACGCACACGTATTTAACAAAACATTTTTACCTTTGAGTTAAAAAAAAAAAAAGGCAGAACATATGGCCTTCACATCCCAGATTCAAACACACGATAAACATTTTGAAAATTCAAATTGCTTATTTTCTTGTATAATAAAAAAAAACACTATACAAGTAAAACAGACATGAGGTCTACATGGCACCATGAACCATTCAAGAATATGGCAATACTAACACATTTCCTTCATCTGAGAGTGTTTGCTGTGCATATAGCTTCCAATATGCATGCTAGTCAAATTTCTCATCATGAAGCTAAACTGTGCCATGTAAACTTAGCCAAATAGGCATACACTACAGCTGATGAAAGGCCTTCTAGAATTCATTATACGACTGTATTGCAAATGGTATGCAAAGACATCTAACAGCCCAACCTAAAACAACTTTCAGGTAAAATACTTTTCTCAAACTAATATAGTTGAATAAATAGAGACTAAACAGCATATTTAAGCATAGAAAATAGTGCAAATTTCAAGTTCAGAATTGCAGCTACTTTATTAACTGGTATCTTAAAGGCTTCTTCCTTCGCATTCTGACTTCACTTGTCATTCTACTCTTTACTCATAGAACTGGTTGCTACTGCAAAGTCTGCAGGCAACTGATTATATTTTACTTCACCTAAAATACCTACACATTGTGTAAACGGAATGATCTATATACATAGATCATATATATATATGATATGTATATATATACATATATACATTTTTTTTTTTTAAATAACATACATCCTTTAAGTAAGGAAACTTCGCAAATGCATGTTTTCCTTTTCAGGAAAGGGCTAGTGACGAATTAAAGTAGACACTTCCATTTAACAGGTTTTTAGAGTTTCCATGATCTCTAAAGCCTGGAGAGAATAAATGATAAAGGACATATGAGGAAGAACTATTAAAAGATCACTGCTTTTCCCTTACCACTTTTATATTTAGCAGATCTTCGCTTTGTTTAAAATGAGTAAACACTTTTCCAGTTATCTGTTCTTTTAATATTTCTTCTTTGTTCATCCATGTTTATCTTCATCTGTTATATTCAAAATGTTAGTGAAGATCTTTCAGTACTGACTCTAAAATCAGACTGAATATTTAGCATTGAACAAACCTAAAAAAGAATACATGAAAGTGTTTCAATGTGTCTGTTTTCCAAAAGAATGCTCAATAAAACTACCGATTCCTCCGTTTCTCTTTTTTTGGTCCTACTTGTAATTCATTGTCAAATAATGTCTATGTTTTTCCTTTAATTTCTTTCCTTTAAAAAAAATAAAATGTTGCATTTGCTATCATTTGGGGAATTTCCTATTCTAAGTATTTTTATACTGCGTCTGCTTTTTGAACAGATTTAGAGATTTCTTGCAAAAATTAATACTATTTTGTTCTAAAAATACCAACTTGATCTTACAAACCTGTTTAAATTTTCCTCTGATTTTTTCCAGATCTTCTTGAAGCTTTTCATAAGTGGGGTCTTCATACGGGAACTTCTGAATCATTCCTATTAATGAATCCAGAGCCTTTCTCTTTTTACTACAAAACAAAACACAATAATAAAAATTAGCCTGCTATAGAAGTTCTCTGTCAGTATGAAAATGATACCAGTATTTTATAATTCAGGGCATAGAATCCAGTCTTCCATCCTTCTTTCAACCTCCCTCATTTAACTCAGAAATTAAACTGTAGCACAACTGACAAATGTAATGTTTTGTTTTTAACTTACCTGCCAAAAATGAAGATATATTCAAGAAACATGACTGAGTGAAATAAAGAAATGCAATAAAAAAGTTCACCAGAATACATGTCAAGATAGCTGAAAGCATGGTGGCAATTCTTTCAAATAAATTAATCAAATCTGGACATAAAATAAAAGATTAGGTTATTCTAAAGGAAAGTAATCAATGCATGGAAGTATATGCACCTGTGCAGCAAAACACAGAGGTAATGAAAAAAAAATGAGGGGAGAAGATGGGAGCAAAAGAAATGTAGCAAGATCTATTTGTGATACACCTCTAAAACATACACTACCTTCAGGTATATAAACCACACAGTAAAAGCGCAGTGCAAGATAACTTGATTTTGTATGATCTCAATACTTCCACCCCGAAGAAGAATTCTAATTTTTAATCAATAATATTGTTTAGCTATTAACATGTCACCCTTTTAACAATTATCATACCTTTTTAGTTAGAAAAGGTCTATGAGTGGTCAGTACACTTGATTCTTTCTGATGCTGAAGTGGTGTTACTAACATTTCATAAGCTCATATTACTTTCCATACAGATAACAGAATGGATGTCATAGAAAAATATAGGTTGGAAAGGAAGTCTAGCCTAGGTCATCTAGCCTACCTTCCGCCCAAGGCAGGACTAACTTTAAGGCCAGAGAAAGTTGCTTGGTACCATCTCCAAACATACTTTGAAAAATCTACAACGATGGAACTTCTGTTGTCAACTTGGTCAACCTGTCAAACTGCTTAGCTGCTCACACTGGTAAGGGTTTTCTCTTTACACCCTATCAGAAATTCAATAGTTTCAGCTTGTGAAAGGTGCTTATTATCCTTTGCACACTACTGCAAAGAATAAGTCTCTAGGACTTCCCTTTATGTAGTACAATTAGCTATCTCCTTTGTTTTTTCTTCTTTAGCGTGAAGAAACCAAGTTCCCTTATCCTCTTTTCAGTATCACATGGTCCAGAATAGGATATAATCCCAACAAATCTCTGCTCACCCTTCTGGTTTTCAATATATATATTTTTTTAACTTGGGAGAAGGCAAAACTGAACAATATAATTTGAATAATCTGAAAAACTATTGAAGGAACCTTTTTTTTTTTTTTTTTTTAAACCTTACCTGTTCTTTTCATCTGTGCATTTGCTGAGCAGACACTGCCAGGTCAGTGCAAAGCCAAGGTAGCTGCCGATCTAGGAATTTATAAGAATACCATGAAAAAAATAAACATATGCATACAAATCATTAAACAAATGTATACAAACAGTACTACATTATATCCCACTCTTCAGGAAACAATTTATTGCCTATACAAACACATTTCATGTTGAAAAGCTCAATAAATTAGGGTAAGATGAATGAGGGATATCTGTGTTACCCAGTACAACAGTCAGAACACTTCTTGTAAGAAATCTGTTTAGCATCAGATGAAAACAGTATTTAAAATGCAGCATGAACAGCAGTCCTGCAAAACACTATCCATATTGACACCCTCTGAACCTCAAAATTTATGAAACTGATGTATGGCAGTAGGGAAATAATTCAGAAACAACCTATTTAAGATGCTTTGGTAAGTATGTGTTTTTGCAGCAGTGTCAGCTTAAGCAGCTCCTGTACAGCCCCAGAAAAAGCTGTACCAGCTTGGCTGAGGGAGCAGCCAAGTCAACCAAACAGGAAAACACATTTTTTCTGAGTTAATATGCAAAGAATGTTACTAGCCTAACTCATGAGGGTAGCACAGAATCAGAAAGAAGCACAGGAAGCTGACTAAGCCAGTCTTGCTGCCAGAGAGCTTTTCATTACAACTGTAATCAAATAGGAATATACTGGAATATAATAAGAATATGTTCTTCAATGCACCAGCTTGTAAGTCAGCTGGAGTCTCTTTCTAAAATGATTTAGCATTCTCAGAAAAACAACACAGACACTTAAAACATAAGTGAGCTGACTTCAAGGTAGTTAAGTCCAAAATTATAGCCTAATCCCACTTCAGTCCACATGTGCATACACCTGCCATTTAAACGTAGTAAACATAGTTTAACTTGGAAGTTCCCATAACCTTAAAACCACTTCAGAGTAAAGCAAGAATGTTTGGGAATACCAGTCTCCTGGCAGTTATGTTTGATATGGTACACAGATCAACTTTTGTTACTTCGTGTATTTTATTTATTTATTTTAAGGCTCAAACGTGGGTTTGGGACTTAACATTTCATTTAGTGCTTAAGCATATTTGAAGTGAGGCAATTTCACCTGCGTGCACCAAAACTGCTTGGAGTCTCCAGGTAGGTGGAGACAACCCACAGACTTGGTACCTAGCTGCACCAAGCTGCTGCGGGCTGGAGACATGTGCCCTTGGACGCTTCACAGCGGTATGCTCAGCAGAATTAGCAGCGCCCTACCACAGGGGCACAATCTTCTGCTTGAGCCCTAGTGGATACTGTGTCCAATACCGCCTAAAAGATATGATGGATAACAAACGTTTTATTTGTAACATCTTAATTTAATTCTCTATCAAGCAAGGCCCCTGTCAGATCAGTACTGTAGTTCTGCTCACGGCTGACAGTTCAAAAACTGCCCAATTCATCCCTTCACATGACTCCCTATCTACAATTTTAGTCTCTTCAGGAACTTCCCAACATAAGTAGATCAGTGCACTTCTCCTATATCATGGCCTACACAGGACAGTTTTGCATACAGCCATCTGTATTTAGAAGCTGCTGTTCAATGCTGTTTTCTTAGAACTTCAGAGCTGTAGCATCACTAGGAAAATATTTCATCACTATATATCTCTGTATCACACCAAGTGTAAACCAAAATTTTATAATAACCATCCTTTCAGAATTTGGGTTTACCGATTTCACTTCATAATGGATTAACATAATTGCTGCTGTTCTGCCAGTAGCAATATTCACCTGACAAACTCTCCCAATGTTAGAAGTAGCAGAGAGTAAAACACAGACAACCAGAATTGTCCTGTTGGAGGAAAGTGACTTGGGTGAAGAGCCAACACCGCATGGTTTTCCCTAATGCTGAACCACAGAGGATGGTCCGGGGGTTAAATTTTGGGTTAAAGAAATCAACATATACAATTTGTCTCGAGCATGTTTATTTGATTTCTCTCTTATCCTTCCTTTCAGGAGAAAAAAAAATAAATCAAAATGGGATCAAATAAACTTTAAAAAAAAAAAAAAAAGCCTATTTAACAGTTTCCTCGCGACACAGCCCCCAGCCCCGCGACCTGAGGCGCCTTCCCCCTTACCTCGGCGCCCACCCTGGCCCCGTGGCGCGCCCCGTGCCTCCTCCCCTCAGCAGCCCCAGCCTGGCGGCCTTCGGCGTAGCCCTCCTGATAGCCCTCGCCGTGGAACCTGCGGACACACACACACACGGACGGTTTCTGACGCTGGTTCCCACTTCACTTTCTGCCGTTCAGACGCCAGGCAGGGGCTGCCCTACCTGTGCTCGGCCATCACGATCTCCTCGAACATGTCCGGGCCGGGCCCCGGGGCCGCGGCGGCCGCCATGACGCCGCCAGAGCCCTCCCTCAGCGCGGCCCCGCGGCGCGCGGCAGGCCGGGAGCGGACGGCGAGCCGTTGGGGCCGCGCGCGGGAAGCGCACGGTTAACGGCCGCCGCCAGCACCAACGGCCCGCGCCGGCCCTGAGGCGGCAGGGGGCGGCAGCGCGCCGCTGACAGAGCGGGGTGGGACGGGGAAAGGGAATAGGGAGCTGTGGGCGAGCTGCGCCTCCCTCCCGTGACAATAGCGGGATGGATCCTTACTGTGCGTTAAGTTATGCCAGCAGCCTGGTTTCTGGATGGCGCAGCTTGCGTTTGTTTTCCTGTCAGCCTGGCTGGCGGTTGGCAAACACCAAGTCATGCACCCAGCGACCAGTACGGCTAACTCCTGACAGAAGGAGTTGTGGAAACTACCACAAGCCCCTTTTGTTTGGATCCGAGACGCTTTCGACTTTCAATTAGTGTATTTTTTATGTAGTTAGATGGCCAACCGTTAGTATGCCGGTCTATTACAACATTCACTTATTGTTACAAATGAACACTGGTAAAACAAAACATTTGTCCTTATTTATAAATACATACGCTAACTTATTGGTTCTTCAGGTAATTAGACTTGAGACATTTCATGAAATGTGTGGCTCTGCGGACACCAATCCACACAGCGGTACAGCCGGTCTGTTAGCCTCTGAGACAAACACAGGCAGGGGATTGAATAGACGGCTCCGAGGTCCTGAGACGTGTCTACAGAATAAATAAAACCACTAGAGCAAAATCAAATTCATACTAGTAAAGGTTTAGCTAACGAGATGCACCAATCACTGTTCATTAAAAATGCTCCATCGCAACAGGCTATATTGATTTGTAAGGAGTGACTGCAGTCAGTCAGCCAGCTCGTTTTCTGCATTAATTTAATGCTTAGGTGTCGATGGACATTACGTGAAATTAAATCACTGAAGGTTTGCAAGGTGTGTATCTACTGTACTGTCTCACAATCACAAACACGTATTGTTCACTAACCATATGATGCCAGTGGAAATATAAAGTAACTCCAAAGCTAATGACTACAATTTATATCTTTGGAAGTTAATGCAAAGCAAGGGCTTTGATCTCAGTAGGTAGGTGGATTGATTCATTATGTTGCAAATATAACAGTATTCTAGCAAGAAGTCTACCAAACACTGCTCTCATTTTGGGGTATTCTTACGTGTTCTCAGCAATCCATTTCATCTGTCAGGGTTCCTGAGAAACTTGCTGTATGCCTGGACAGTCACAAAGTCACCCGTAATTCAGAGTCTAAATGATGTGTTTTTCCCACTTCCAGTTGCTTCCAAGGCAAACGTATCTCTGCTTTCATCACATCTGATGCCGCCTGAAAGGAGGGTTGGCTATCATACATTTTTGGAGAAAAGAAAGTACATTTATTTTATTATTATTAAACGAACAAGTCCTTCTCCTTGTCCCAGGGTTTCCATGAACATAGTTTCAGTACTTGGAGCAGGGGTAACACTGATACTTCGGTTCCTGAATAAAGGTTTTACAGCTCTTCACACTTCCCCAGAGTGGAAATGGAGATGCCCAGTATCTCCTTTTCTATAGCTTTCTCACTACTCTTACAACTCGTATTTACACATCATAGCTTCTAATTGAGACTTCACAAGGAGACATTTGACACCTGACCTTTTAAAACCCTTTACAGCTGTAAAACCTACTCCTGCAAAGGAAAGCCTGGCAATTGCCTTACTGTCTTTGAGAGATGGTGGCCAGCCAAGGCTCACATAGCGCAGAGCAAAAACGTGCGCGGTGGTGGTGCTGTTTGCATTCCCACAGAACCGAAGACAATGGTGTTCAAAGGTTTTGCACACCAAGTTCCTGACCGAGTCAGGTGTCTAATGGCAGGGAAAGCATTTTCCAGTAATCGTTCCACCTCACACAGGGATCTTGTCACTTTTCATAAGCAAAGCAGCCAGGCCTGGTCAGAGCTTGGATGGGAAACCTCCAAGGGAAACTAAAGTGCTTCAGGAAGTGGTGTGGGTAATTTAGCTCCTGGCATTCTTCCCCCTGTCTGAATAAATATTGAACCAACCTCTAACCATGCTGTTACAGTAAGGAACACCGTGCTGGTGGTGGAAGATGCAGACCCAAAGGTGTCAGCAAATAGGGTCACAAGATGCTATTCACATATGTAAGGATGCTCGACTTTGTGCTCTTGACAATATTCACAATAATGTTAAATCTACTTTAAAATCTCTCACTGGTTAATGTAAACAGTGTGCCCCCTGAATTCTGTCATTTGTTGTGTTTCCCATCAAGACTGTCTTAGTTTGCTTGTTTTCTGTTTTTTGATTTTTATGAAAGGGTCTTGACACATACCTGATGTTCAAAAATAATATAGTGTCTGATCAAAAACAGAAATGAAAAAGAAAAAAACAAAACAAAACAAAAACAAAACAAAAAAAAAAAAACAACCAACCAACCAACCAAACAAACAAAACAGAATACCCAAAGCACAAAAACTTTTGAAATAAAACAACTAGAAAGTCAGGACTGTGTCTCCCAACACATGAAGAGTAGGAACCCTCCGGATGTGCGGCAGTGGCTTAGCACAAAGGAGAATATGAAACACCATGGGAGATGTTCTGCAGCCAAGAAATCTGCAATTCCTGTGAGTCACCCTTGCAGCATTTCCAAACTGAAATGTTCAGTCCCTCTTTTCCTGCCAGAAATAAAGATCTTTTTCAGGCAACACGGCCATTTCCCCCCCCCCCCCCAGGTGCACTGATAAGTATGGTGCCATTCTGTAAAAGAGATCAGCCTTCTACCTACATCGCTTTTGTGTTTTGCAGGTGGATGGTTGATGTATTAATATAAAAATCCACTCATGGAGCATGTAGTGTGGTTCAAGTCTGGTTGGAAATTGCTACCTTTAGTGCCCACAATGTGCAGATGCTGGCGTACCAGCATGCAGCTTTGCCTGTGCTGGAAATTTGCTCTGGCTGCAGCCATCCGCAAATCCTCGCTGAAGAAGGAGCCATTTCCAAAACCCTTCCATGACAAAGATACTTTTCTTAGACTTGCAGTTTCATGTGAAGCTCAGCAGCAACTGGCGGCAGACGGACTTGAAGTCCAGCATTGGCCCTAACTGGCTTTGGGAAACTCACTCTGTGTTGTACTTCAGCTGCACCTCTCCACACAGGTGCTGTGGACCCAGACTCCATGGTTTGATAAAGCTCCTTGAAGTGTCTACTTCACAGTTACAAAAGAGTCAGATACATTTCCATGTTGAAGATGATTTTTTATTGCAAATGTACACATTACACTACTGATAATGCACAGAAAAAAGCTATTGTTTCCTAAAATTTCATGATTACAAAACTTCACAAAATTTGTTACAACTAAAAAACCCACCTTCAGGAGTATATAAATAGAATTTCGCGCATAAATAACAGTAACAAAATAAACAGATGTATGTATTCAATAAATTAATTATAAATATTGCATTGGCAATGAAGTGCTAGGTCAGAAAAAACACCAGTATTTCCAGTAGAGCTTTTGTACAGAAATCTCTATTATAAGTAAACCTTTAGAAATGAGTGGAATCCTGAAGTTTTTGTTTTTGTTTTTGTTTTTTTCCCTTTGGTTTCAGTTCGTTTATTCCTTTATCAAATTGTTATATGGGGAGAACAGAACTGAAGACATCAGCCATATGTTTTTTAGCCACAAAGTAGCCATGATCCCTTCCTGCAAGAAGAATGGCATGGCTGTCCCAGTTCTCGTTTATGTCACTATATTGTCTCTCCACTGATTTCAACTGATGCAGAATCAAGCCTGAAAGGACTTAAAAGAATTGCTGATGGCTACATATAAAACATGAAAAATCCGCTTTGCAATTGATGTGACCTATGCATTATCCATTTTCAGTCTTTCTCTCCATTTGCTCATGACATACATTTGTATATACAACAGAATCTGTATTTGAACACAGATTTGAACTGCTTATTCCCTACGTGAAAACCAGAAATGCTAGTTCTGTACACACTTCAACCCCCATGCTGAATTCCCACTAATGTTAATGAGAAATCTATGCTGGATGATGCAGATCCCACAGTGAACATAAATTAGCCTATACAAAAATCAAAGATCCAGTTTTCTGAAGTACCCCTTAGCAATAAGGGAAGGAAGAAATATTTCCCTTTCGTCCCTTCTTTCCTAAGGGAAGAAAAAGCACAATATACAGGCGGAATTGTTTTTCAGTGGTATGCTTTCAATAGAAAGTTTTCCCAGAACCTTGTCAGCAGCTTTTCAAGAGACAGCATTAACTCTAGTTCACATAACCACATTTGCTAGGTCTTCCTTAATCATATTTTGTTCCGAATGTTTGTCTTTAGCCTCTGAAGCTACCAGATTTTGAAGCCTCTGAAGCTACCAGATTGTGAACCTTCCCGTGAACTGCAAAAAGGTTTTCTGCATTTGCTCCTGTGAGCAGAAATAACAGGTGAACATAGGTGGCAATGAATTGGATGTACAAAAACTGTAATTATTTCATCATCACCACGTTAATGGAGGAACTCCAATGAATGCATTAAGCTTTTCTTATTTAATCCTTCTTTCTCAAAAAAAACCCTACGGATAGGCAATTCTTTAGAAGATAGCCTCTGAGCACTCATCTCTTACCGGTACAACACACTGTATGGAAAAGACTGGCTCCATACTGAAATATATAAAAAAAAGTTTGAAACATCACTACACGAGAAGCTAACCACCTGCAATATTCTGCAACATTTCTTTAAAACCGTGTGTGTAATCAGCATCATTTCTGAAAGCTGGGGCTCTTCACTGGAGACAGTTTGGAGGTGATCCCAAAGGGATCCATGCTGTCCGTTTCAAGAGGCGATGAGTATACCTCTGGTTCAAAAGCCTGGCTATAATCACCGTATTCACCAAAGTCTGTTGACTCCACTGGCACCGTGTTGATCATAGGTAAGAAGTGAGATAGTGGAAGAAAATCTTTTCCTTTGAACTGTTGTCTTTGCTTGGCGCTACTCAAAGACACCGATATCCCGTATTTCTTTGATTTATATACGTTGTAGCCGTCTGGACGAAT